AGGGATGCTCTGACCTACATTACTTATGTAGATTGTGAAGAGGGTGGTTCCCAAGACTCAACCTTGTGGAACACCGTTGTTAACATTTAGATAGCTGGAAGAAGTACCGTTATGTTTTAACACATTGCCTCCGATCTGAGAGATAGTTAGAGAACCAACCAATGGTGTGTTCTGAGAAACCGATTGCTGAGAGTTTATGACACAAGATGTTCTGATCCACAGTGTCAGAATCTTTAGACAGGTCTAAGAAAAGTGCAGCACAATAATCTTTAGCATCCAGTGCTTCAACAACGTCATTAAGAACCTTCAGTGAAGCAGTGGTTGTGCTGTGTTGTTTCCTGAAACCAGATTGATGTGGAGGTAAGATGTTAAATGAGTCCCCCCCAAAAAATAAAAAATAAATAAATGAGTCCAAATACATCTAGACTTGATAATTTATCATTTTTCTAAAATCTTAGCAAAAATACAGAGTTTAGAGATTGTTTCATAGTTGTTCAGTATATTCAGACTTATGAATGCTCCTAAACGGCTTAATTTGAACCGGATCTTGCCAGAATAAAGATCTGGGAACTCTCTTGTGTTGTCAGGTTGCATTCTGGCAGCTGTTTGCTTGGGTAACTCTCAGGCTGACTAATAATAAAGTTCTGAACAAATAAGACTGCCCTGTCGTTTTGGGAGCCATGCTTGAAACATGTCACTCCCCTCTGCTGCTGAGACGATAAATAAATAAGTCCGACACCTCTGCTGCTGTTTTCATGAAGCTCTGGATGCTTGTCACCCACAGCACGCATGCAACAAAGATTAAACGCAAAGCGAGATGATACCAGCCTCCTCTCTTCCTCTTTGTCTCTTTCGCATTGACAAAATGTTTTAGTTTTATTGATGAGTTTGTCAAGGCACAATTTTGATGTTTTTTGTTGTTAATACAGAATAATGTTTAATAAATGTTAGGACTCTATTCTTTGCTAACAAAATATATTTTATGCCGTTAAACAATTTGTCAGGTTCTTGTCTTGTGAGCATGCACGTTCCACAAGACCCCCACCACCCACCCCAGCCGGTCCATCTGCTATTTGCATTCTGGCATCACTCAGTTGACAGGAAGTGCTCCTAAACTGAAAGGATAAGCACGAGTTGTGTCGACACATAAAAACATAAAGAACCGATTTAACGCTTTTAGCAGCAGCCTGTTGCAAAGACACGATTTGTTCCCATTTCATTAGATGAATCAGTGAAAAATCACCAACAGCAGTTTCATAGGCAGAGAGTAGAAAATCCCAAAGAGCTGTTGACTGAAAACCTGTAGAGGTCCAAAACGGGATGCAAGAAGCCACTGACAGAGATGATGGGTCACTCACTCTGTAGCAGGTCGGTGTAGGCGTTGTCTGCGATGGTGTAGATGTGCGGCGGCATGTCTGCACGGCGCCTCCCTTTGTAGCCTGTTATCACAGCAGTGGAGTAGACTGGAAGCTGTTTGTAGGGGTTGACGGCCACACAGAACAGGCCAGAATACGTCTGTCACACAAACGCAAAGGAATTTAAAGAAAGGTACATGAGTGTTAATTTTTCGTCTTTTCATATTCTTTGCATGAGATTGGGTCTTTGGTTTCTGTAGTGTGAGATACTAACATAGATCATCCACATGCTGTATCGTCTCCTGAGGTTAAAGAGGACAGAAGCTTCATTGAGGTGGGTCAACATGGCCATGTCCTCAATCATATCAAACTTAGGAGGGTTCATTGGCTGCAGGTCATCTTCTTTGACTATTAGAAACTAAAGCACATCAGAGAGAGCTGGAGTTTAAATTACAGTTACTATAAACCTGCAAACAGTAAGATCCAGTAGATCGGTTAC